TTCCCACTAACTACCAGCTCATACAAGACTTGTATAATGATAGGGCACTCACAGCCTTCAACATCTAGAGCAGCTCATTCCATGAATTCCTTACAAAATCCATTGAAAAGAAAACTGACTGTTATTGCCTCCACAAGGAAATAAAGAAGCCTGTGGTCCAAAAATAAGATCACTGTCATCTTCATTGCATAATTTATAGGACTTAGAGTCAGACTGTGAGGAAGAGCATTTTAGGAAGACGTAATTGCAGGAGTACCACTAGTTCATCTGATTTTTGATACCTCACTCTTCCCTCTCCACGAAAATGAGAACTTATTTCAATTAGAGCAAATGTTCATACAGGGAGTATATAATACTTGTACAATATTGAGAAGCCCAAAAGTGTGTCATTTATCTAGTGTCTAGCTATAAGTGGCTTGGGTTGAAATGAAAATTTCTGACATTGATTTCCAGGTCATCCTACCAACTAAAACATAATTTTGCTCAAAGTAGGACACTTAGTCCTTCATATTTCTGTCCAGCCTAACCCCTGCCACTTCCTCATACAGTCTCTTAGCGAGGAAGGAATTAAAAGCACAACTTATAAAATTTGTAAGTTTTGCAATATTTCAGTAAAATTATAAAGTGCCATTTTATAATTCTAGGTATAGGCCAAAACCAATATACACTTGAAAATTCCAGATGTTTAAATATCATTCATGTGTGCGTGCGTGCACATGCACATGCATGCCAAGGTGAGATCATGCTATTTATTTCAAACACCTTAAGTGAGCTTCATCTTGCTGGGGGGATAAAATCAGCTTATTCCTCATCAGAGTGATGGTGTGTGTACCTTTAACCTAGGAAGAGTTCCACTCCTTGTTTAATTAGTCAGTGATATCCTACTGCTCTACTCAGTGTTTGTACACCACCTTGATTTACTTCTTGTAAGATGACGTTCTTAGTAGCTGTGTGGGATATGGAAACAGGAACAAAAATGTATTCATGCCAGTAAAATAATCAGAGGAGGCTAGAAGATAAACAGAAATGGTATGTTATTAAAGATGGAAGGAGGACCAGGAGTGGCAGAACCTGCTCATTGGAAATTGCTTCTTGTTTTAGTAATTACATTTTAGTTTATGAGGGCACTAGGCATTAATATAATTATAACTTTGGCCCACAAAGTCCTGGCTGTTTTCAAATTAATGTAAGCAGCCTGGGAGTTGGAGATATGTCTGTGGACTTGTCTGGTAAGCTCATATTTTGGTTTTGCATCTGGGGGTAATATATTATTTTGATGGGTAACAACTTCACAAGCAGATTTGAAGTCCCAGCTCAATCAAGCTACATATTGAATCTTTTATGAAACCAACTCTAAAAAGTGACTATTAATGACAATACATTTGCAGCTCGTCTCTTGGCCTTTAACTTACAATTTTGCTTTCTAAAATGTCTTTTTTTTTTTTTTTTTGAGGAGGATTAGCCCTGAGCTAACATCTGCCACCAATCCTCCTCTTTTTGCCGAGGAAGACTGGCCCTGAGCTAACATATGGGCCCATCTTCCTCTACTTTATATGTGGGACTCCTACCACAGCATGGCTTGCCGAGTGGTGCCATGTCCACACCCAGGATCTGAACCAGTGAACCACGGGCCACCAAAGCAGAACATGCGCACTTAGCCACTGCGCCACTGGGCTGGCCCTAAAATGTCCTTCTTTATAGATTGTCCTAATTATCAAGTTTTCAACTTATAGTTGTTGTTCCACAGTTTTAAAATTATTTCTTGTTTACAAATATCATTTGCAAGTTGAAGGGAGACATAAATTACTATATTGGCATGTGATTTTAAAAAATCGTGCAAAGTTTTGAATGATTTCTACTACCTTTTCCAAAATATATTGTGACTCTTATTTGACAGGTTTGTCTTTTGATATCCCATTAACTAAATAAGTTTTCCCTCAACCCTGATCATCTACTGTTGAGGCAAAAGTAAGTTTTAATTTGCCGTAACTTCTGGTAACACTATTAGCTGGTCCTTATAACAGAATGACAGATTGCAGTTTCTCAGGGCGGGAGCTCTCACTCATATGCTTTTGTATTCCTTTCGATACTTCGTTTATTTCCTCCAGTAAATACTTTCAGTACTTTTGTCCATTTTATTATTACATTTGGATAGATGAGAAATCTAGCAAAATTCACCTTTATTTAAGGTAGCTGAGCTCTTCTATCTTCTTCTCCATATAGCAGCCTTATTTAGTTTTAAATTATTATATCATCTCCATTGCAGCTAGATTGGCACCAGTGAAGCCCTTGAACTTCTCAAAGATGAGCTATTTTTTATTCAAGAAAATTTTCATTGTAGCTTGGTGCCTATACCTACAAATTATTGTGGTGGGCTCTATTTAGATGTAATTTTGTCTTCCTCTCTAGAAGTGGCCAGTCTGACCCTAAATTTTCAGCCCAACAATATGGATTTGGTCAACAACATGTTTCAATAGAAAATAATTCATTTTAAATAAATGCCTTCCTTCTCCTTAAGTATTTTTATTCATACCGAGGGACTTTGAGCTACTAAACAGACATCTTTCCCTTGTAAAGTAACATAAAATAAACATCTTAAGATTTCTACTTACAGAAACTTGACAAAATAAGAGAGAGTAGAGTATGAGGGACATAAGATGCTAGACATAAGGTAGAACAAAATATGAATTTGTAAATCCTTATGTCCAATTACATTATTAAAAGAACTTTGAATAGACTGAAGAAAGAGGTGTGATGGTGGTAGACAGTTAAATCAACTGCAGCAGAAAAGCTCACTTTAGGAGTACTAGTCATGGAGCATTCCTTATCAACAATTTCCATTTGCCGCTCCTCTTTCCTCATTTCCATTAACTTGGATACTTAACACAAATATTATGATTAGTGAGACTGGAGAAGAGGGAAGCCTCCTGTGAGATTCAATCTTGGAAATGTAAAAGAGGGTGGAGAGGCAGTACAGAGCTAAGTGAGATTAAGACAAATCTTGGAGTTGTTAGACAACCACTCTCCCACCCCCACCCCCTCTCCGCCCAGACCATGCGCGGTTTAAATACAGAAAGAAAAAAATACACTCAGGGTTGGGGTTGTGGGGAAGCATTGACTCCTAGAGGGTAGGAATTATATGCAATTTGCCTTTGTATTCTTTACAAGCAGGACTGTGTCTGGCATGTAGTAGATATCCAGTAGATGTTTGGTGAGTGAATCAATATCAATATAGTCGTAATGGCAAGACTCAGTTTTAGAGACGTTATTTTGGTTCAAGGCAGAGTTACTACTTCTTAGATAGGGCTGGAAATGTTTACGTAGCGTCAAGTTGGGCCAGGATTCAGTGCCAGCCCTATGGAAGACAAATGGATTTTTTCCATATGCATTTGTGCCCACATCATCGCACACAGGACTTGGGTGATTAGGAATGTGGGGTGAGTCTACTAATAAAGCTTTATAATAGTACATGAAGCACAAATACATTCAGCGTATTCATCCCATACCGATTTAGGGGCATATTTCTTAAGTTGTGTTTACTTAGGTTTCCCCCAGAGTGAGTGCTTCCCAATCTTTTTTATTGTCAGTATTTGCCATTAGTTGTCATTATTCTGTTATTATTAGTAATGGGACATGATCTTTGATCCTTCAAAATCTTGCTCAATCTACGCCCCAAGTGTTCCTTTAAGTATCAGGGGAAAACAATTTTGGCTCAAGTCGGTGCCCAAAGCCACACCCACTAAGAGGCCTTCGGAAACCCGGGGCTTTCCTGGCGGCGACTAATGTGTCGGCAACCACGCGGCGCGTCGGAATCCCACGGCTAGCGCTCCGGTCTTCCCCGCGGGAGGCGCGGCGCCCGTGCCAGCTGCCTTTCGGCCGGGACGCGGGTCCCTCTCCCCGCCCCGGGCTCATTTGCATAGGGACGCGCGCGGCGCCGGCGAGCGGGAGGGCGGGCGCGGCCGAGGAGGCGGCGCGCGCGCGCCCTGACAGCTCGGCCCTGCTCGCTCACTTGCTCGTCCCCGGCTTCCGAGCACAGCATGGCGGTCAAGGTGACTCCAACTCTCTGCTGCTGCCTTTATTGCATAAGAGACATTCCGGGGACCCTGCCTGCAGCCCCTCACTTCTTCCCATTTCCTTCTTTGCCTGGTTCTTAGATAGCGCGTCCTGGGACTCCAGCTCGCGGGTGGGAGAGCTGTGCGGGGCTTGGACCGGAGACAGAGGATGCCCGACTGGGGGAGGGGAAGGAGGAGGGATTGTGAGTTGGAGGGGCTTGTGAGGACCACGGTCGGTGAAGGAAGAGTAATGTCCTGCCCTAGGTGCATGGGATAGTGGGCCCGGAGTTGGAGGGCTTCGGAAAGGGAGTGGGAGGAAGAAGCCGGGGACACCTAAGGCATCTGTGTATTGCGGTGGGGGAGGGGGTGAGTAATTGAGTAATTTGGGGCCTCAGTGGGGCTGGGGGACAGTGGTTGGCATTTGCGCTGCAGGTGGCAGGATGGCGAAAGTATTTGGAAACGTTGTAGCAGCTTTCATATTTTAGGTTGGGTGGAGAAAGAGAGGATCGCGGAGATATAATTATACTCTGGATTGCTTTCCATTGAGAAGAAAGGCTGCTAGGCCATGCGATTAATTTGGGTGTTTCAACTTTCTTGTTGATCTACTGTTGCTAGCCTCTTGATTTGAAGGTGGGTGGTTGCTACTGTGTTGCTAGTGAATGTGGAGTAAAGAAAGATTGAACCCCACTGCCTTCCCTTTCCAGTCCAGAGGAAACTATCTGATAGATTTGCTGTATCTTTGGCTCTTCACACTTGTCTTTCCACCCTGTAGTCACAGATCTCCAATTTGACAGTTGTTATCAGTATTAGTGCTTTTGGTTTGTTTTAAACTAAATGCCCTTATAAAGATAAGAACATTGACTGGTAGCATCTGTGAACTCTAATCTGAAGAGATTATGTGGTCTCTGGTGAAGCATTAACTGGCTTTTTTTTTTCTTACATGTGCAGACAACCAAGCGAGGTGATCCTCAAGAGTTAAGAAACATATTCTTGCAGGTAAATTGGCTTATGTAGTGTGCTTTTCCATTAGGAAAAAAAAGTGTAAGTCTAGTACTTTTCAGGCCTTAACTTTCAGGTATGTTCTATTTTCATGTATTCTTAAAAACATGGCTAGACAATAAAGTTTATAATTCTCTTATTTTATTAAGTATTAAATATTTTCCTTTTTATTAAGGTTTGATAAAAGATTTTCCTCAAGTTATTGTTTTTTTAACATGATTTAAGGCATGCAAAAGAAGAACACTAAAAAGGAGAATTTCCAGCAACCCTTTAGTGCTGTGACTGAAATAAAATTTCAAAATGTATTGACACTCTTGTGTAATTGATAAGTATGGTGGTTAAAATTCTTTTTTCCTTGAAAATTGCATATTTATAAAGTTTTCCTATGTATAAGAAACACTCTATGTAATTTGTTACAGAGATAAGAATATTATAGCTATTCGTAATTTGTGCATCTTTTTCCCCTCTACTTATATTATATCCATAGGCTTTTGGGTTTTCTTACAAAATGTTACTGTCTGCTATTCTTGCAAAGATCCATCTTAACTTCTAAGTTTTTAGGATCAGTGACTTGGCTGTAGACGTAAAAAAAAGTTGGCTTAGTTTTTTGTTTTGCCTTCTTTTCTTAAATTTCAGAAGTTCCCTATGCAGGAAGTTGTACTTAAGAAGTAGATGTAAAGGGAGACAAGCTAAGATGTTCCACTAAATATTGCTGTTTTTCCTGAAATCTTCTTTTGAGAGCTTTCTATTCTGGACCTGGGTTCCTGTATAGAAACTTTGACCTTGGCCAGGTCCCTGCTCGGTGTTAGTTTCCTCCGTAGAATGAGAAGTGATCTCCAGGGTTCCTTCCAACTCCCAAAGTCTACGGTTCTATATTAGGAACAGATTCTATCATATGCTGATGGGCCTGGAATAGATGACATTTTTATGAGATATGTGGATTGCTTAAGCTATTGTTGGGGAGGAGGCTGCATAGATGACCATAGATATGTGTAGTTCGTGGAAAAGAATTCGTGACAATGGGAATCTTAAATTTTATAAGATCTGATAAAGAGAAGCATCATTTCCAGAACAAAAGTAATTGTACTAGAAATGTTCTATTTATGACTTGAAACGTTGAAATTGTTTTGCGAGGAGTTCATGTGATATAGTTAATTTTGTTTTCTGGATTAAGTAGGCATGGAAGAAATCAATTGAAATAATGCATGAGTATTATTGAAAAGAGCACTCACCTAGGTATCAGGAACACCAGGTTCGATTCCCAGTCCTGCATCTAGCTGTTGTACCCGTAGGCTAATTTTATGGCCTTCCTGGGCTTCGTCTTCTTGTGTAGGGCTCAGTGGGTAAGGGAATGGGAATTGACGTCCTTCCAGCTTTAACAGTCCTGTGTTAAAAAAATCTGTGATTCTGTATGGATTTGGGTTTTTTTGGGAGGGGGGATGGAAGTACAAGGAGAGACCTGGGACTATATGTAGCTTTTTTGACAACTTTTAAATCTTTTAATCTTTTTACACGTTATTTTCATGATGGCCTTATTTTTATTTGAATATGGAATTCATAACTGTGCATTTAGCACTAACTATAAAGCATTGACTCAAGAATTATTGATAGATAAGAAAGAGATAAAGCATAGATACCTTCAGCTAGAAAGATTCAATATAGTTAGTTGAATCATTTGAGGACAGATACCAAGGAACATGTTAGATTTTTTAACTTCCTATCTGTAGTTCCATAGAATATGAACTATAGTTCCATAGAATATTCCATGTAGAATAATTCCAACTATAGTTACTTGAATCTGTAGGACATTGTTTAGAAACAGTTTTATTTTAGATGCATATGACTTATAAATATTTTAGAGGTAATAGTCAAAAATACATACTAACTACATAATTCTTTAGCAGTTAACATATTTACCCAACAGATATTTACTGAGGACTATTTGCTGTTGTGCCATCTATGCACTTGTATTTAGTTTAGTAGTAGACACCAAGTTGAATCATCAAAGGGGAGGACTGAGCCAAGACTTGAATGGTAATGGACATGTGACTAGCTCCTTTCTGAGAACCATTCCATCTCTAACAGTTTATGGTTGAGAGAGTCAAGAGTAGTGAAGGAGGGCCCGCCCCGTGGCCGAGTAGTTAAGTTTGCATGCTCTGCTCCGGCAGCCCAGGGTTTTCCCTGTTTGGATCCTGGGCGCGGACATGGCACCGCTCATCAGGCCATGCTGAGGCGGCATCCCACATGCCACAACTAGAAGGACTTACAACTGAAAATATACAACTATGTACTTGGGGGCTTTGGGGAGAAAAAGGAAAAAAATAAAATCTTTAAAAAAAAAAAGTAGTGAAGGAAAATGTGTAGCCTCTGGTAGAGCAATCACATTGGCTTACCTTGATCAGAGTGGTGATGTAATAGTAATGACAATGGCTAACATGTATTGATCATTCTGCAGTGTGCTGGGCGTTGGCCTGGTACTTTAAGGGTATGATACTAATGATACTAATTTTCACAGCAACATTAGGAGGTAGGGATAGTGTCTCTCTTATATAGATGAAGTTAAATGACTTGGCCAATGTCACTTAGTTCCTAAGTTGTAGAGGCTGGATTTAAATCAAACTACAGAACCCATACTCTTCTTCATCCTTACCCTATTACTGCTTGAGGGATCTTGAAACGAGTGATTTTTGAAAAGCTGAAGGTATGTGAGGGGCTAATGGCAGCTGTGTTTGTTAAGAAGCTAAAGAAAAAAAAAATCTGGTTACTTAGGTGATGAAAAAAAAGGTGCCTTTACACTGTAACTACCTAGAACATTTGGCCAACAGGTTTGGATTTGAAACAGTAGGGAGACACTGTGGGTTTCTGAGTGGGCAAATTGAAGTGGTGAATTCTGGCAGCTCTTTGTGTCTGTTGGATAAAGCGTACAGAGGTTGGAAGTAGGTAGGACAAACAGCTAAGAGGCTATTGAAACAATACATGTGGGAGATAATGACGTGGAGTGGCTGATGGCTGGGGAAATGGAAAGGAAGGACAATACCAGGGACTTTGTAAGGGATAAATCTATTGAATTTGGTATTAAATATGGAAGTAAAGGAAGGAGTAGTGAATCTGACATTTTTAGGATAGATGTTAATTACTAAGGCATCTATTTTGGGAATTTAGGGGGGAGGGGTTTAAAGTTGGTTGCTAAATAAATGTGTCACAATAAGTTAAAGTCAGGTTCGGACAGATAGAAATTCATACAGGTGGTAGATGAATCCTTCTGGTTAGGGGGATTAAATATAAAATGAACAAGACAGAATAAGGGACTGATTTACAAGTGATATCTACAACTAAAGTGGGAAGGAGGAGAAGGGGAACTAGGGAGAATGGTCCTATGGGAGCTTGAGTATCACAAAAAGGAGATAGTTGGGGCAGGCCCAGTGGCTGAGTAGTTAGGTTTGTGCACTCTGCTTCGGCAGCCCAGGGTATGCCAGTTGGGATCCTGGGGGGGGACCTACACACCGCTCATCAAGCCATGCTGTGGTGGCCTCCCACATAGAAGAACTAGAATGATCTACAACTAGATTATACAACTATGTACTGGGGCTTTGGGGAGAGAAAAAAAAGGAAGATTAGCAACAGATGTTAGCTCGGGGCCAATCTTCCTCACCAAAAAGCATACTTAAGAAGAAAAAGATATAGTCAAACACTAAAATATAGATTATTCTGTTATTAGTATATTTTGGTAGGATTTTGAAGTCACTGGAGTTCAGGATCATTTGAGCTATTTAAAGACTACAGAGAAGATTTTATTTTGAGTTTTAGAATACAATTGAAAGCTCTTTTTTGGTAAAATTTAGATCTGTGTCATTAACTGTCTAAATTCACAAATAGTCAGTATGCCTCAAAAGTCATTTATTTTGTAAACAGCAAAATATTCCTATTTGAAAATGCTGGTATCTTTATGTTTAATGAAATTATGTGTGCAAGTTCATGAGAAGGGCTTTGTAAGAGTAAAGTATTATTTTGATTATAGGGAAATAGATTTTTTTTGGTGTTATTGCTTCTCAAATTTTGATGAGCTATATTTTCTATTAGTTAAAAAAACAAATAATAATATTCACTAGGATTCTGCTTTTTCCTGCCCCCCCAAGTTCGTAAAATTGGAGCACAACAAATGAATTCTTATGTGTTAGACTGTGCTATAATTTTACAACAAGTTGTCAAGCTAAGATTTTACTATTAGCACCCTTACAACTGTCATTTCTTCATTTCTGTCTTTCTTCTTTCCCCTTCTCACCCACGCACTATCATTGACCCAATTTTGCTACATCAGAAGTATACAGTAGCAAAAGGAGACAATAGAAGCAATGAAGAGGGAGGTGAGGTGAGGACAACAGGAATGTCACAGGCTGTTATAAACCTGACAGATTTTAAAACGAAGAGTTAATCTGGTTTGTGCTTTGTGGCAAAGTAGGTTTATCAAAAACTGTTTTAAGTGAATGATTTTTCAAGATCTCTTTTTTTAGTTGATAGACTTTCTGTTGTTCGTTTATCAATGTATTGTATATAAAAGCAACACATATTGAGACTGTACTTGCCATTATATATGCTAGACCAAAAATGTACTGCAATGTAGAACTCAAGTATTATTTTGATCTTGTTCTTTTTCTCATTATCATCAATGTAACAGTGAAGATCGTATCCCATATCAAATTATGAAACTGCATTTTTTTCCTATGTTGTTTATTTTGGATTAGAGAATAGTGGAAGAAGATGCTGCTAATATAAAGCAAAGAGTGATTATTTTTAATTCAAACTTTAATTTTAATTAATTTAATATTAATTTTAATGGAAAGAAATGTCATTTTATTTATTTATTTATTTATTTATTTGAGGAAGATTAGCTCTGAGCTAACTGCTGCCAATCCTCCTCCTTTTGCTGAGGAAGACTGGCCCTGAGCTAACATCCATGCCCGTCTTCCTCTACTTTATCTGTGGGACGCCTGCCACAG